TGCCCTGATGCGCTCCATCTCGATCTTGATCTCATCCTCGGACGGCGCGCCAGGCTGAGCCCCTTGGGCTACTGGCTGGGCCGCAGCAGCGGTTGGCTGCCCCTGGCCCCCGCCGCCTCCAGCGCCGCCTGCCGTGCCGCCCGCGGCGGCGCCACTGATGCCGCCGTCGATATTCCTCTTCTTGTCGAGGCGCTCCTTGACCTTCGCCCTGAGGTCGAGCACCTGGGTCTTCCACTTGAGAACCTCGTCGGCTTTGCTGATGACACTGTCCCTGGCCGCCTTCAGCTCAGCCTCGACCTTTTTGAGCTCCGCTCTCTCGCCCTCTGTGCACTCGAGGGTGTCGAGCTGCTTGAAAAACTCCTCATCCCATGTGACGTTCATCATCGGCACCTGCTCGACGTCAGCGCCACCTGCGCCAGCGCCAGAGGTGCTGCCCCCGCCTGCGCCGCCCGCGGTGCGCACGTCCACGCCCGCCTCGCGGGCGAGGGCCACCGCGGCCGTGCGCTTGCTGATCTCAGCAAGGGCCAGAGTGCGGGCCGCCTCCTCCTCCTTCCTCATCGCTACCACCAAGTTCTCCTGGCAACGAGAGACGGCTGCACTCGCTTGCACATGCTTCTGCTTGGCATCCTTCCAAGCGCCCTCTGCTCGCCGAACTGCCTCACTCGGTGGGACTACGGCCGGCTGCTCCGACGCCTGGGCCCCGCGCTCAGCGAACTCGATCTGCTCGGCGAGCACCTTGCGGCTGACTGGGTCGGTCACTCTGGCCATCGCAGCAGACAGCGCCTGGATGGTAGACGTAGTCGCTGCCACTTGTGACCCGACCGACCCTTTGACATTCTGCAAGGACGGCTGAGTTGTCGAGGATGCTGGACCTTTCTTCGGCTTATACAGCTTGACTGGACAATGACACTTGGTGCACTTCCCTGAGTTTGCCACGATCCTCTCATTGTACTCGTAAGTACCACACTTCGCACATGTACTCCAGGCCTTTGCCATGGGCCACGGGCGAAGCCTCGCTTTCGCCTACGCAACTGGCCGTCCGAAGGATGGGACAGAAAGTGCGCAGCCCCCCAAGCACCACGTGGAGGCGCGAGGTTGGGCGTCGGATGCCAAAATGGCGCTCGAGCCCAAGTTGCTTGAGAGGAGGAGGAGGAGGAGGAGGAGGAGGAGGAGGAGGAGGAGGAGGAGGAGGAGGAGGAGGAGGAGGAGGAGGCAGCTTAGCCGTCGGAAAGCAAGGGGCGGCAGAAAAGTGCCGCCTCATCGGAAGCCGCGCCAGGGCAGCGACAAAGAGAAGCACGAGGGCGTGGTGCGAGGCTCAACGGGCAGTGCTGCATGCGTGGGGAGAGAGTACGGCCCCCGCGGATCCGCAGCCAATGTCTGTTGCGTGAAGCGAGGGTGCGAGGAGCGGCAGATGTGTCGACTGACAGGTTTGGGCGCATCACGTATACCTGGGGTGGGGGGTTTGGACGCCCGACATGGGTACCGAAAGAATGGGCACTATGCCCAACAGCAAATGTTGTCCCAAGCCAACAGCGGCCGCTGTTGGGCAGGCGGCCCTCTGTCTCAAATGGACACAGGACGCGGCGGCGTGGACAGCGAGTCCTGTTAAAAATGAACAGGAACTGCTGTTGGGCATCGTACCCATTCTTTCCGTGCCCATCTCGGGCGTCCAAAGGGGGGGGGTGGGGGGGCGGGGGGTTCTGTCGACAGTGACGGCTGGATTCGCAATTATCTGGCTCTGTGCCCCAGACGACCTGATTGACCCGCCCTCTGGAACCGTCTTTTGGGCCGCAAATCAAAAAAGTAGACCTGGGGTGCAGCGAGAGAACAGGCGCCCTGGCGACACAGGCGCTTCTAGAGCAGAAGCGCGGCCCCGAGCTGTATGACCTGCCGGTGGTAAACTTGGGCAGCGCACAGTCCGCGGACGTGACTGGCCGCTTCGACGACGGACGGCGCGACGACAGTGCTGGCGGAGCACGGAGCTTTTGGGCACGTGTCCCTGGAAATGCCGTGATCGCGCCATGGTTGGCCACGTTGTTTCTTTCGGGAAGTGTTTCGTCTGCGACGGCTGAGTTGGCTGCCCGCACCAGTCCCTGCCCACGGATCGATTTCCATTGTCATGTGCCGTCGCATTTCGGAGGGGTTCAATGTGAGCCCCTTGGGCATATGTCAAGCCACATATTCTGGCGTAGGCAGTTTTTTTACGCTGTGCTGGTCTGTTCTACTACGACATCATGCTTCTGTAAAGTGTTGATCCGTTCTGCACCCTTGCTGGGATCTGGCCACCAGGGCTTGACATCCGAAATCCCCCCTCCTCGTCATCATCCTGATCCTATTCCTCCTCCTCTGATTGTCCCCCTTCCGCTCCTCCTCCTCCTCCCCCTCCTCCCCCTCCTCCTCCTCCTCCTCCTCCTCCTCCTCCTCCTCCTCCTCCTCCTCCTCCTCCTCCTCCTCCTCCCCCTCCTCCCCCCCCTCCTCCTCCTCCTCCTCCTCCTCCTCCTCCTCCTCCTCCTCCTCCTCTCCTCCTCCTCCTCCTCCTCCTCCTCTCCCCCTCCCCTCCTCCTCCCTCCTCCTCCGCCTCCTCCTCCTCCCTCCTCCTCCTCCTCCTCCTTCCTCCTCCTCCTCCTCCTCCTCCTCCTCCTCCTCCTCCTCCTCCTCCTCCCCCCCCTCCTCTTCGTCTTCCTCCTTAGCAGCCGCTCTGGCTGAGGTCGCCATGCGCGGGACTCAAAACCCCCCGCCGCCAACGGGTGGCGACACGCCTCCGTCGTCGTCGGTCGGCCGGGGGGCGCGCGGGGGGGGCGCGCGCGCGCGGGGGGCGGGGCCACTCGGGTCGCCCTGCTCGGCGGGCGTAGGCCGCCCTGCCGCGGCGGGGGCACCCGCCGTGCCCAGCGCGCGGGAGGGCCCGAGGGCGCCCGGCGCGGCCCGTGCAGCCGTGCCCCACCATCGTCAGGGGCAGGAGGGCCGCTCGGGCTGCTTCCGCGGCCCGCGCCGCGAGCCAGGCACGCGCGGCGCGCCCTCGGTATCGTTCGACCAATCCCCATCCCCATGCCCATCCCCTTCGAGACCCCCACCAAGTTACTTACCGCCCCAGTTGGGGATACACCCCTCGAAGCCCGAAGGGAAGGACCTGTGTGTGTCCCCATCCAGGGTGGCGAATCGGCCAGTGGGGACCAGGCCACAACGCTGGGGATTGTGCTGGCGAGAAGGGGCTCGCCGAGTTTCTCCTGGGGTGCGGGTGCGAGTACTGCGTGCTCAACGAGGCCAGGGCCTATGCCAACGGATGGCTACGCCCTCGAGTGAACGAAGGTCCTCGGCCTCGCCCCCGCGGTGTCGGAACCCACCGGCATGGGGATCTCGGAGGTGTTGCCAGCGGGCGCCAGCGGGGTCATCGACGAGGAGGTCGCGGGTTCCGACCTCGAATTGGGGTTGTTCCTGTTCGTCGGCGGGGCCGCGCGGGTCGTCGGCGCGCTCTCGGAGGTCCCCGTCTTCCCCCGCCCTGGCCCAGAAGCGCACATGGTGAGCTGGGTCTTGCCGCTGAGCGTGCGGGTCCTGACTAGGCCCTGGTCTGTGATCGTGTTGCTGAGCTCGTGGGTGTTCGTGCAGGCGGTCGTGAAGAAGTAGGCGGATCTGGGATTGCAGAAGCTGGCGGAGGGTGTGCAGAAGGCAGCCATGCAGGTCGTCAAGCCAGTGGGGTTGCTGTAGCTGCCGGTGAAGATGGGCGTGCAGAAGGTGGCCTTGCATGCCATGCTGGTCGCGGTGATGAGTCAGATCGCGCCGCTGACCACGCAGGACGTGCTTCGGTCTTGCAAGGAGATGATTCGCACAGCGGTCGCTGCCGAGTCGAGTGAAGCTCTGTGGTCGCGCTCCTTCGTCTTCTTTTCTGAGCCAGGAAGCGACACAAAAAACGGATGAACGCTTCAAATTTTAGCATCATAGTTTTCACTATTCGCGCACGGACGATCTTGCCCAAGACAATGGTCGAAACTGCCTTTGCAAGCCCAGCGGCGCCGTGTCGGGAGCCGTTCCTTCGACGGAGGGGGCCTGGCCTCGCGCGCGAGGTCGCGCTGCGGTCCCTGATGATCATGCCGTGGAGCTGGTCACGGGGATGGGCGTGAATGTGGGCTCGCAGGAGCTCGGAGGTCGATAGACCTCCTACCCTGACACGTCGATTAAGGAATTGGCCGTTTTCGGTGCGCGAGAGGGCGTCACGGCCGCTATTTTTGCGGGTCCAGGTCCGTCGGTTCGGTTTGAGTCCCAGGCCGTTTTCACTAAGGGGAGGTTTACTGAAGGGAGGTTTGTCCACCGCCGAGAAGCAGGCGGCGAATATGGGCACACGCAGATGAAGGTGGCCGTGCGTGCTGCGAATCGGACGCGCCTGCGCCTGCCAAAAGACGTACACAAAAACAAGGCGTCGCACTGCCATCGCGCGTGGCAAGAATGGGCTACGGCCCCACACCTCGAGCGAGGTTCCGACTGTCGCTCTCGCTCCGTGCGTGCACAAGGAGGAGGAGGACGACGAGGAGGAGGAGGAGGAGGAGATTCCTCCTCCTCCTCCTCCTTGTGCGAGATTCCTCCTCCTCCTCCTCCTCCTCCTCGTCCTCCTCCTCCTTGAGCTCCAGCTCGTGCACGGCGCGCCATGTCTCGCACGCGCTTTTCATCGACGCGCGAGCGGGCGACGCGGCGCGGGGCAGAGTTCGCCCGAAGATAGCGCTCCTGGCCCGACGCGGCACCTGCGTGTCACTCCCTCCTCCTCCTCCCTCCTCCTCCTCCTCCTCCTCCTCCTCCTCCTCCCCTCCTCCTCCTCCTCCTCCTCCTCCTCTCCTTCTCCTCCTCTCTCTCCTCCTCCTCCTCCTCCTCCCTCCTCCTCCTCCTCCTCCTCCTCCTCCTCTGTCTCTTTCTCCTCCTCCTCCTCCTCCTCCTCCTCCTCCTCCTCCTCCTCCTCCTCGCCAATTTAGGGCGTGGGGGCCCGCGCGAGGGGGCGACCCGCTGCCCTGGCCCAGGCGCCGTGCGCAGTTCGCTCGGGAGGGGGCGCTCCTGCGCGGGCGCGGCGCGGGGCCCGTTCGCCGCATCGCATGAACAGCGGCAGCGGCAGCGGGGCCGCGCGAGGGCGGGACACCTGCCGACCTCGCCCAAGCGCCGGCAAGGTTGCCAGTGAAGGCGGCAGTGCGGTGTCGGCGCGGCGCGGGGGTCGTTCGCCGCATCGCATGAAAAGCGGCAGCGGCAGCGGGGCCGCGCGAGGGCGGGGCAACTGCCGACCTCGCCCAAGCGCCGCGCGGGCTGCGAGTGAAAGCGGCAGTGCGTTGTCAGCGCGGCGCACGTTTCGTTTTCGCCGCGCTCCCGACCCGGCGCGGCCCGCGTAGTTTCCTCCTCGCCGAGTCGTCGGAAGCGGGGCCGCGCGCGAGCGTCTTCCGCTTGTGAGCGGGAGCGCGTTCCTATCCGAGTAGAAAGTTCTGCCACAAGGGATTCTTATGCTGTGGGAGGGAGGGTGGGAATAGGTGGGGCCCTCCAACTCGCTCGACTTGGCTAACTTGCCTCCTACTCCTACTCCCACTTCGACCCCCTCGCCTTCCTTGTTCCCCCCCCTATCCTACATCCTTTTACCCTTCCTCCTCGGAATCCTTTTTCCTCCTCCCCCTCCTTCTCTCAATCCTCCCCTTCCCTCCTCCTTTTCCTCCTCCATCTCCCCCCTCCTCCCCCTTCTCCCGTTCCTCCTTTTATCCCCTTCCCATTCCTTCTCTTTGCTCCTCTGCCCTCCCCCTCATTCCCCTTCCCCTCCTTCCTCAACTGCTGCTGCTGCTGCTTGTGTTGCTGGTGCTGCTGCTGCTGCTGCTGATGCTGCTGCTCCACCTCCTCTCCTCCTTCGCGATTCCCAAGACCGGTGCTTTGTTCTGATTTTGCAGCGTGGGGATCGTCATGGCGGCTGGGCCCCCCCCCAGGCGGGGATATGACGATACCTCCTCCGTTCCTGAGTCTGAGAGACGGGCCTTAAGGGTTGCTTCGTGACCCTCCCCTAGTTCAGAGCGCTGGCGGGAGACTAGCTGGCGTCGCTATGCCTTGAACCCTTACACCCTCCTCCTCCTCCTCCTCCTCCTCCTCCTCCTCCTCCTCCTCCTCCTCCTCCTCCTCCTCCTCCCCCTCCTCCTCCTCCTCCTCCTCCTCCTCCTCCTCCTCCTCCTCCTCCTCCTCCTCCTCCTCCTCCTCCTCCTCCTCCCCCTCCTCTTCCTTCACTTTCTCCCCCTTGTCAGCACCTCGCCGCAGGGAGACCTCCATCATGGAGGCCGTGGGGGACCAGGTGGCTCAGCGCGCCTGGGAGTTTGGGACAGACGACCTGGCCAGGTGCATGTGCGCCTTCGCGGAACTGGGTCTGGCGCACCAGTCGATGCTGGAGGCGGCGTCGATGGAGGTCATGTGGAAGGTCGACCAGTTCACGCCGCGCAGCTTGTCGCTGGTGGTGGAGTCCTGCGCGAGGCTCCGCCACTGCCAGGAGCCGATGTTCCACTGGGTCGCCCAGCGGGTCGTCGGCCGGCTGGAGGACTACCGGCCGCGGGACCTCGCTACGGTGGCCTGGGCTTTCGCCGAGGCCTCGGTAAGCTGCCAGGCCCTTGCGGAGGCGCTGGGTGCGGAAGTCGCCCAGAGGGCCTTCGAGATGGACAGCGAGGACTCCGCGCCTGGGTCAGAGGCAACTCTCGAGGGGGTCGGCTTTGGGGGGGACGCATCGACTCCCAATCGCCCATTCAACGCCAAGAGAGGCCCGATAGCGCGCCCCGCCCTGGAGCGTGTGGATTCGTCATCGGGGGCCTATCTCGCCGATTTATCGGCGACGTATCGCCGATTCCAGCTCGACGTTTCCCCCCTTGAGCCGCCCACCCTTCCCCACAATGGGGGACGCCTGGGGCTATGTCGGGAACAGTTTGGCACTGCACTCGGTCTTTTACTCTACTGCCACCACTGTGGTTCGTCTTGTTCTCGTCGTGCCAGAAGCGTGCGCCACTCCGCCGACCCCTGGAGGAGGCGATGTGCGGCCTGCGTGTGGTTTGCCGTCTCCCGTCGTGCTGCCTGCGTATAGCTGTTGCCGACTCGTGCCCTTTGTCCGCGCCCGTGGCGGGGCTCTGCTGGGGGCCTCTGGGAGGCCCAGGGGGCGGCCTCGTGGCGCATGTTCGGAAAGCTTCTGGGTGCTCTTGGGTGCCAGCCGGGAGCTTCTCGGGATCTCTTGGTGGCATGTATGGGGGGGTCTCGGGGGCCGTCTCGTGGGGGAGGGCTCCCGGGGGTCCCTGCGAGTTCCCTCCTGGGCCTCTCTTGGGCCCTTCTTGGGGTCGTCGCGAGGGTATTGTTGGTGGTCTTGGGTGCCTCTTAGGCCCTCTCAGGGCCCTCTTGGGCTGTCGCCAGGCCATCTTAGGGGCCTCTTGTCCCCCCCTCCCTCGCCCCACCCCCCTTTCTGCGTGCCGCGAGCAGCAGGAGCTTCCTCGGGCCTCCCCAGGCACCGAAAACCTTGAGGGCCGATCCTCGATCTTCCACCACTCGAAAGTCTCTCTCCTCGATCCTTCAGGAGCTGAGGACAACAGTCAGCAGCGGCCGCATGCCCGCGGCCGCCGTCGTTGTTGCCGCCGTCGCCGTCGCCGCTCCGGTCGCAGCAGTCGTCGTCGTCGTCCTCGTCCTCGTCGTCGCCGTTGTCGTCGTCGCCGTCGTCGTCGTCGTCGTGTCGTTGTCGTCGTTCGGCGTCGGCGTCGACGTCGTCGTCGTCGTCGTCGTCTACGTCCTCGTCCTCGTCCTCGTCGTCGTCGCCGTCGCCGTCCTCATCGTTGTCGCTGTCGTCGTCGTCGTCGTTGTAGTCGTCGTCGTCCTCGTCCTCGTCGTCGTCGTCCTCATCGTCGTCGTCCTCGTCCTCGTCCTCGTCGTCGTCGTCGTCGTCGTCGTCGTCGCTGTCGTCCTGGTCCTCGTCGTCGTCGTCGTCCTCGTCCTCGTCCTCGTCCGCGTCGTCGTCGTCGCCCTCGCCGTCGTCGTCCTCGTCCTCGTCGTCGTCGTCTTCGTCGTCTTCGTCGTGGACGTCGTCCTCGTCCTCGTCCTCGTTCTCGCTCTCGTCCTCATCCTCGTCCTCTTCGTCGTCGTCGTCGTCGTGCTCCTCGTCCTCGTCGTCATCGTCGTCGTCGACGTCGTCGTCGCCGTCTCGTCGTCGTCGTCCTCGTCCTCGTTCTCGTCGTCGCCGTCGTGATCGTCCTCGTCCTCGTTGTCGTCGTGGTTGTCGTCGTCGTCGTCTACATCGTCCTCGTCGTCGTCGTCGTCACAGTCGCCGTTGCCGTCTTGGTCGTCGTCGTCGTCGTCGTCGTCGTCGTCCTCGTCCTCGTCCTCGTTTTCGTCGCCGTCGTCGTCGTCGTTGTCGCAATTCTCCGTTGCCGTCCTGGTCGTCGTCATCGTCGTCCTCGTCGTGTTCGTTGTCGTCGTCGCCGTCGTCGTCCTCGTCCTCGTCTTGGTCGTCGTCTTCGTCGTCGTCCTCGTCGTCGTCCTCGTTCTCGTTTTCATCGTCGTCGTCGCCATCGTCGTCGTCGTCGTCGCCATCGCCGTCGTCGTCATCGTCGTCGTTGTCGTGGTCCTCGTCGTCGTCACCGTCGTCGTCGTCTCGTCGCCGTCGTCGTCGTCGTCGTCGTCGTCGTCGTCGTTGTCGCAATTGCCGTTGCCGTCCTGGTCGTCGTCATCGTCGTCCTCGTCGTGTTCGTTGTCGTCGTCGTCGTCTTCGTCGTCGTCGTCGTCCTCGTCCTCGTCCTCGTCTTGGTTGTCGTCTTCGTCGTCGTCCTCGTCGCCGTCCTCGTTCTCGTTTTCATCGTCGTCGTCGCCATCGTCGTCGTCGTCGTCGCCGTCGTCGACATCGTCATCGTCGCTTGCGATCCCCAATGCTCATTAGCAGCCGCGTGCCCGCCGCCGCCGTCGTTGTTGCCGCCGTCGCCATCGCCGCCTCGGTCGCAGTCGTCGCCGTCGCCGTTGCCGTTGCCGTCGTCGCTGTCGTCGTCGGCGTCGTCGTCGTCGTCGGCGTCGTCATCGTCGTCGTCGTCGTCGGCGTCGTCGTCGTCGTCGTCCTCGTCGTCGTCGTCGTCGTCACCGTCGTCTTCGTCGTCGTCGTCGTCACCGTCGTTGTCGTCGTCGTCGTCGTTGTCGTCCTCGGCGTCCTCGCCCTCGCCGTGGTCGTCGTCGTCATCGTTGTCGTCGTCCTCGTCCTCGTCGTCGTCGTCATCGTCCTCGTCCTCGTCCTCGTCGTAGTCGTCGTCGTCGTTGTCCTTGTCCTCGTCGTCGTCGTCGTCCTCGTCGTAGTCCTCGTCCTCGTCGTGGTTGTCGTCGTCGTCGTCGTCGTCCTCGTCCTCGTCCTCGTCGTCGTCGTCGTCGTTGTCTTGTCGCCGTCGTCGCCGTCGTCGTCGTCGTGCTCGTCCTCGTGGTCGTCCTCGTCCTCGTCGCTGTCCTCGAAGTCCTCGTCCTTGTCCTCGTCGTCCTCGTCCTCGTCGTCGTCCTCGTCCGTGTTGTCGTCGTCGCTGTCTTCCTCGTCGTTCTCGTCCCCGTGGTCGTCTTCGTCCTCATTCTCGTCCTCGGCTTCCTCGTCCTCGTTCTCGTCGTCGTCGTCGTTGTCGTCGTCGTCGTAGTCGTCGTCGTCGTCGTCCTCGTCGTTGTCGCCTCTATGCCGTCGTCGTCGTCGTCGTCATCGTCGTCGGCCTCGTCATCGTCCTCGTCGTTGTCGTCGTCGTTCCTCGTCGTCGTCGTCCTTGTCCTCGTCCTCGTCGTCGTCGTCGTCGTCCTCGTCCTGGTCGTCGTCCTCGTCATCGTCATCGTCGTCGTCGTTCTCGTCCTCGTCCTCGTCGTCGTTTTCGTCCTCGTTGTCGTCGTCGTCGTCGTCGTCGTCGTCGTCGTCGTCCTCGTCGTCGTCGTCGCCGCCGCCGCCGTCGTCGTCGTCAACGCCGTCGCCGTCACCGTTGCCGGGGTCGTCGTCAACGTCGTTGTCGTCGTCGTCCTCGTCGTCGTCTTCGTCGCCGTCTTCGTTGTCGGCCATCGTCCTTGTCCTCGTCCTCGTGGTCGTCGTCGTCATCGCCGTCGCCGTCCTCGTCCTGGTCGTCGTCGTTGTCGTCGTCGCCGTCACCGTCCTCGTCCTTGTCCTCGTACTCGTCATCGTCGACGCGGTCGTCGTCCTCGTCTTTGTCGTCGTCGTCTTCGTCGTCGCAATCATCGCCCTCGTCGTCGTCGTCGTCGTACCCATCCTCGTCCCCCTCCTGGTCGTCGTCGCCCTCGCCGTCCTCGTCGTCGTCGTCGTCGCCGCCGTCGTCGTCGCCGTCGCCGCCGTCGCCGTCGCCCTCGCCGTTGCCATCGCCGTTGCCGTTGCCGTCGTCCTCGTCGTCGTCGTCGTCGTCGTTGTTGTCGTCTTTGCCTTCGTCGTCGTCCTCGTCCTCGTCCTCGTCCTCGTCCTTGTCGTCGTCGTTTTCGTCGTCGTTGTCGTCTCCCTTGTCGTCGTCGTCGTCGTCCTTGTCCTCGTCCTTGTCCTCGTCCTCGTCGTCGTCGTCGTCGTCGTCGTTGTCGTCGTCATCGTCGTCGTCGCCATCGTCACAATTTACGTCTTCGTCCTCGTCTTTCTCTTTGTCGTCGTCGTCCTCGTCGTCGTCGTCGTTGTCGTCGGCGTCACCGTCGTCATTCACGTCCTCGTCCTCGTCCTCGTCCTCATCCTCCTTGTCGTCGCGCTCGTCCTCGTCGTCGGCGTCGTCGTCGTCCTTGTCCTCGTCCTCGTCGTCGTCGTCGTCATCGTTGCCGTCGTCGTCGTCGTCGTCGTCGTTGTCGTTGTCGTCGTCGTCGTCCTCGCCCGCGTCCTTGTCCTCGTACTCGTCCTCGTCGTCGCCGTCGCCGTCGCTGTCGCCGTCGCCGTCGCCGTCGCCGTCGTCTTCGTCGTCGTCGTCCCGGTCCTCGTCGTCGGCCTCCTCGTGGTCGTCATCGTCGTCGTTGTTGTTGTCGTCGTCCTCGTCGGCGTCGTCGTCGTCGTCGTAGTCGTCGTCGTCGTCGCCGTCACCGTCGCCGTTGCCGTCCTCGTCGCTTTTGTCGTCGTTGCTCTCGTCCTCGTCGTCGTCGTCGTCCTCGTCCTCGTCGTCGTCGTCGTCCTGGTCCTCCCCCTCACCCTCGTCCTCGTCCTTCGTTGTCGTCGTCGACGTCGTCCTCGTCGTCGTCGTCGTCCTCGTCGTCGTCGTGGACGTCGTCCTCGTCCTCGTCCTCGTCATCGTCGTCGTCGTCGTTGAAGTTGTTGTCGCCGTCGCCGTCGCCGTCGTCGTCGCCGTTGCCCGCCTCGTCGTCGTCGTTGTCGTTCTCGTCCTCGTCCTCGTCCTCGTCCTCGTCCTCGTTCTCGTTCTCGTCCTCGTCCTCGTTCTCGTTTTAGTCACCGTCGCGTCGCCTTTTCCGTCGCCATCGCCGTCGCCATCTTCGTCATCGTCGTCCTTGTCGTCATCGTCGTACCTGTTCTCGTCTTCCTCCTCGTCCTCGTCGTCGTCGTCGTCGTCGTCGTCCTCGCCGTCGCCATCGCCGTCGCCGTCGCCGTCCCCGCCCTCGTCACCGTCGCCGTCGCCGTCGCCGTCGCAGTCGCCGTTGCCCGCCTCGTCGTCGTCGTCGTCGTCCTCGTCCTCGTCCTCGTCCTCGTCCTGGTCGTCGTCGTCGTCGTCGTTGTGCTCGTCGTTGTCGCCGCCGTGCCGTCGCCGTTGCCGTCCTCGTCGTAGTCGTTGACGTCGTCATAGCGTCGTTGTCCGCGCCCATGTCCTCGTCCTTGTCCTCGTCCTCGTCCTTGTCCTCGTTGTCGTCGTCGGCGTCGTCGTCGTCGTCGTCCTCGTCGTCGCCGTCGTCGTCGTCGTCGTCCTCGTCCTCGTTGTCGTCGTCGTCGTCGTCGTCGTTGTCGCCGTCGCCGTCGCCGTTGCTGTCCTCGTCGTCGCTGTCGTCGTCGTCGTCGCCGTCGCCGTCGCCGTCGCCGTTGCCGTCGACGTCGCCGTCGTCGTCGTCGCCGTTGCCGTCGTCGCCGTCGTCGTCGTCGTCCTCCTCCTCCTCCTCCTTGTCCTCGTCCTCGTCGTCCTCGTCGTCCTCGTCGTCGCCGTCGTCGTCGCCGTCGCGGTCGCGTCGCCGTCGTCGTCGTCGTCGCCGTCGCCGTCGCCATTGCCGTCCTCGTCATCGCCCTCGTCGTCTTCCTCGTATCCGTCCTCGTCCTCGCCCTCGTCCTCTTCGTCGTCGTCGTCGTGGTCCTCGCCGTCGCCGTCGCCGTTGCCGTCCTCGTCGTCGTCGTCGTCGCCGTCGTCCTGGCTCGTGTCCTCGTCCTCGTCCTCGTTCTCGTTTTCGTCGCCGTCTTCTTCTTCGTCGTCGTCATCGTCGCCGTCGTCGTTGTCGTCGTCGTCGCCCTCGTCCTCGTCCTCCTCCTCGTTCTTGTCATCGTCGTCGTCGTCGTCGCCGTCGACGTCGCCGCCGCTGTCGCCGTTGCCGTCGCTGTCGCCGTTGCCGTCCTCGTCGTCGTCGTCGTCGTCGTCGTCGTCGTCGTCGTCTTCTTGTTGCCGTTGCCGTCGCCGCCCACGCCCACGCCCGCGCCCACGCCCACGCCGCCGCCAGCCTCAGGACCACCACCGTGCGCTCCGGTCGCTGCAGGGGCTGGGCTGCTCGTGGGAGGCGCTGGCGCGGCCGTTCAGTCGCCCGCGGCCGAGCGATGCGGCCGGCGCGGCCTGCGGCAGCCCCAGGTGACCCCGGCGAGGCGGCAAAGGGCACAGGCGGCAGTGGAGCCACCCCGCTGCAGCGGTGCTCAGGCAGTGGCGGAGCCGGAGGGTTTCTCCGAAGTGCTCAGGCGACCCGGCCTCCTCCTCCTCCTCCGCCTCCTCCTCCTCCCCCTCCTCCTCCTCCTCCTCCTCCTCCTCCTCCTCCTCCTCCTCCTTCCCCCCCCCCCCCTCCTCCTCCTCCCCCTCGCCCTCCCCACCTCGAGTCGCCTACGGCCCAGGGGGAAACCGTCCAGGCGGAGCGTCCTGGCCTACCTATAGGCCCACCAAAGAATGTTCTAAGGACATTTTGTGGTTTGCACGAAGTATCCTTAGAACAGTTCTGGCTGAGACCGTCTTGATTTAGTACATCGGCTTCTTGTCTTAAGAGCGTTGTAATTGCTCTAAGAGCATGTCGTGGTAGGCCTACAGAGGTGCCAGGACGGTCGGTCCCTGCTCGGGTCCTTAGGGGTGGGGCCCCAAGGGGGTGGGAGCGGAACCCGAGCGGAGCCTTCACGGTGTGAGGCCGCCCGTCGTCAGCGCCCCATCTTCAGGGCCCCATTGGTGAGCCGCTGGCTGCCACTGCGTTGCCGCCCCTCGAGCATCGAGGGTCGAGGGGATATCGAGGATCGAGGGGACATCGAGGATCGAGATGGTGGGGCGCTTTGGTCCTCTGCGGGCCTCCATGGGGCCTCTGGGGACCTGCGGAGGGCCTGCTGCGTCGTCGTCGTCATCGCTGCCTCGGGTGACTTGGCTGGGCGGCAGAAGGCATCGGCACGACGAGGCCACCCTGCCCCTGAGATGGAGGAGGGAGGTTTCTAGGTCACCCGCAGGGACGCGACGGTAATCGCGCCTCGCGGCCTGGGCCGCATAGGTGCCCTTCTCCAAGGGCGGCGGCGCGAGGGCGCGAAGATACGCGCATCACGCATCTCGCGAGGCGCGAAGTTGACTCAGGAGGTCACCGCCCACCAAACCACCCCAACCCAACCCGAAGGCCTCAAATTGACCTCCATTTCCAGGGGGGGGGGGGTCGGGGAACATCGAGAAAACACATATGGAACCCGTACCCCCCCCAACCCGAAATTCGGGTCTTCGGGTTGGGTTGGGGTGGTCTGGTAGGTAGTCAGGAGGCTTACGCGCTTACGCCGACCCCCAGAAGAGGTAAGGAGTCAAACGGTTCGCCGTTCGTGTGAGCTTGCTTGAAGCTTTTGTTGGCAGTCCAGTGGCCTTCGGCTCGTCCCAGCACCGTGCCTGGCTTGTGAGTCAGAGGCTTGGTGGGCACCAGCAGGTGTCTCTTGGGAAGCCTCTGGGGCAGTTCTGAGGCCTCTTGGGGCCCGTTTGGGGGCCTTTGGAGGCCTCTTATTGGCCTCTTGGCGGCCTCTTGGGCCTCTTTTGGGGCCTTCGTGGGACCCTCTTGGGACCCTCTTGGGCCGTTGTAGGCGCCTCTTGGACCGTGTCGGGCCCCCCATAGGCCGTCTCGGGCCCCTCTTGGGTCGTCTTGGTGCTATCTTGGGGGCCTCTTGGGCCGTTTTGGACGAAACCAAATATGGATATGCTACAAATAATCGCTTCCCAATGGGATTGGGAAGATTTTGGCCTCTTGGGGCCCTCTTGGTGGTCCTCTTGGAGCTCTCTTGGGGCGTCTTGGAAGCCTCTTGGGCCGTCGTGGGGCCATCTCGCGTGTTGTTGAGGCCTCCTCGGCGTGTTGGAGCCCAGACTGTGCAAGCCGTGATGCAATGTTGGGGCATCTTGGAGGCCACAGAGCGTAGGTTTGGAGGCTCCCGAGGCCCCCGGGGTGCATTGGGGAGCCCCGGAGGCCCCCCCTCCCCTGGCCCCTCCCAGGCCCCGCCCCCTCTCTGGTCTTCAGTCGGGCGCGTCCCTCTACAGGAGGAAGATTCACAAATAGTTAAAGAAATAGCCAGGGGACGATTTGTCGACTATGTTTGAGCATGTTTGGGATATTTTTTGAGGATGTCTAATTTATCGCCCCAAAATCCGCCTGTAGGGGGACATGCCCAGCCTAACTCGATTCGGATTTTGGACCCTGGGGGAGGGGGAAAGCGGGAGGGGGACAGCCAAATGTCCCACACGCCCTGTCACCCTTGGCAAGCGGGGGTCGGCGAATTAGGTGACCCAGGAGGGTCGAGGATCGAGAATCGAGTTTTTGTCGACGTTTCTCGCCTTCCTTGAGCCTCAGGGACGTTGCACGTCGCCACGGCTGGATCGGCTTCGAAGTTCTGGTGCGCACGCACCATTGGGGAATTTCACGGCTGAATTCCGACTATTTCTCAGGCATCCTTGCCACGAAAAGTAGAGATTATCGAATGGCCTCAGCCTCATCTTCGGGTCTCTTCGGAGCGCTCTCGGGGCCTCGTGGCAGCAGTTTTGGGGCCTCTTGGGGGCCTCTTGGCGGTGAATCTGTTGCAACCTGTTAAAGAGAATGAGCGCGGCGCGAAGGCGAGAGCTACATTTGCGAAACGGCCCGCGCTCAATCCGCGAATTTCCTGCAATTGTTTCAAAAAGTGCGTGCGGCGCTAAGGCGAAAACAGCATTTTGGAAGCGGCCCGCCCTGAACCCGCGAAAATCCTTCAATTCGTTAAAACGAGTTCGCGCGGCGCTAAGGCGAGAACCACATTTTGGAAGTGGCCCGCCCTCCATCTGTGAATTGGTTGCCAATACCTACACTTCATCATCATAGATGGCGAAGAAGTCTTAGGCGAAACGCCCCGCCCGCCCTCCGACTGACCTCGGGCTGCGACAAGGGGAGTTACTCATAAGGAAAAGGAATGGAGGGAAAAGGTCTTGAGGAGGAGGAGGAGTATAAGGAGGAGAGGAGATGGAGGAGGAGGAGGACGAGGAGGAGGAGGAGAAGAGGAGAAGAGGAGAAGAGGATCTAGAGGAGGACGAGGAGGAGGAATAGGATGATCATGATGATGATGGTGATGATGATGATGACGATTAGGATGAGGATGCTGATGCTGATACTGATGCTGATCATGATGGTGATGATGCTGCTGCTGATGATGTTGATTATGGTGGTGGTGATGATGACGATGATGATGATGATGATGATGATGATGATGATGATGATGATGATGATGATGATGATGATGATGATGATGATAATTATGATGGTGATGGCGATGGTGGTGGTGGTGGTGATGATGAGGCTGCTGATGATGGTGATGGTGCTGCCTGATGATGCTGCTGTTGATGATGATTACACATGGTTCATTTCTGATTATTCGTAAGTTCATTGTTTTTTTTGGGGGGGGGGGGCAGGATCCTTTCATTTCTAAGTGTTATATCCTGGGCTCTTCCTGGCCACTAGGGGGCCAGGACAAAATAGAAACCAGCACACTTAGAACTGAGCACGATTACAAATTATCCCAGTGCGACCCTACCTAGGAGTTGGAGCCCCTAGGAAAGCAGCATTAGTTGCTATGCTATGCTATGCTATGCCATGCTATGCTGCGCTATGCTATGCTATGCCATGCTATGCTATGCTATCCTATGCTGCGCTATGCTATGATATGCTATGCTATGCTATGCTAAGCTATGCTATGACATGCTGCGCTGTGCTATGCTAAGCTGTGCCATGCTATGCTATACTATGCTAAACTGCGCTATGCTATGATATGCTATGATATGCTATGCTATGCTGCGCTATGCTATGCTATGTTATGCTATGCTATGCTATGCTGCGCTATGCTATGCTATGCTATGCTATGCTATGCTATGCTTGGCTATGTTATGCTATGCTATGCTATGCTATGCTAGTATAGCGCTGCGCTATGCTAAGCGAAGCTATGATGAAGATAAGCTAAGCTAAGACAAACCTGAGCTAAGATGAAACTAAGCTAAGCTAATATTAAATACTATAAGCTAAGATGAGATACGCAACGCTAAGCTAAGGGGGTGTAACTGGGGGAACCGCGGGGCGGATGCCGGGGGAACCGCCCGGGGCGAGAACCACTGCCCGGCCCCTTTAAGATACACGATAAGAACCCTTCTAGGCAGAGCCTAGGTAGGGAACGACGTGTATGATTATGATGATGATGGTGGTGATGATGATGGATGATGGTGATGCTGATGCTGATGCTGCTTATGATTATGATGATGGTTTTGATGGTGATGATGATGATGATGATGATGATGGTGGTGGTGGTGGTGGAGGTGGTGGTGGTGGTGATGATGATAGCGGTGGTGGTGATGGTTATGGTGGTGGTGGTGATGGTGATGATGAGGAGGAGCAGGAGGAAGAAAAGAAGGTGGAGGAGGAGGAGGACCAGTGTAAACCCAAGAGTCATCAACGACTAACCCTCCCTCCAAGCTCCCTCTCCATAGGCCCTACAACAGTTCATTTCCATTGAGGGAACTGCGTCGTTCGAAGACAACTGTTTGAAGATCCTGAAGCATGCCAACACATCGTTTTCGGGAGTTCAACGCCACGTATCAACCTGACTGCTGCGTCTTGACGGTCCGGAGTCGTGCCAGAGCGCCATTCTTGGGATTTCAGCACCGCGAACCAACATCATTGTTGCACCCGCATAATCCTGAATCCTTCCCAAACGCCATGTCTCGTGCGCTGATCATGGGACTCCGTGAAACTCTTGCAAATGTTTTAACACGAATGTGCGCGGCGCGAAGGCGAGAGCCACATGCTGAAAAGGAACAGCCATCAATCCGTGAAGCTCTTTGCACATTTTGAACACGAATGTGTGCGGCGCTCAAGCGAGAGCCACAGTTTGAAAAGGAACAGCCCTCAATCCGTGAAACTCTTGCAAATGTTTAGCACGAATGTGCGCGGCGCGAAGGCGAGAGCCTTCTTTTGGAAAGGAACAGCCCTCAATCCGTGAAATTCTCGCAATGTTTAAAACGAAGGTGCGCGGCGCTAAAGCGAGAGCCACATTTTGAAAAGGAACAGCCCTCAATCCGTGAAGCTCTTGCAATTGTTTAACACGAATGTGCGCGGCGATCAGGCGAGAGCCACACTTTGAAAACGAGCCGCCCTCCATCCGTGAAGCCGTTGCCACTTTTTAAGCTTCAGAGTCTCAAATGGTGAGGCAGTCAGGCGAAACGCCCAGTCGCCCTAAAAGCT